ATGTTTGACTTCTACATACTGTGTAGAAATAAATGCACAGTATCTGCCCCTCCCTGCCTCTACTGGCTCAAACATTATGTGTTGACCCTACAGATGACTGTATACTTTTAAGGCTTTGATGTTGACCTGTCTAGTAAGAGTGAGTGAAAATGGATGAGCGACAAACTGAACTGCCACTGGTAGACTACTCAAATAGATTACAATGAGTTTTATATAGTTTAGTGCTTGATAAGGAACACATTTGTGTGAAGACACGAGAAGTAGTCACCGGGCTCAGGATAATTAGACGTAGGTACGACAATGCTGGTTTATAGCTAATTGTGCTGGCTTCTGTTGGTTGTTTGACTCTTGACACTTGAAAATTGCATTATATTCTGTAATGAGATTGCCTTTCCCCTCTTACTTCGAGCACTGTTTAATGTGCCTGTAAAATGCCAGTTCTGTGACCGCAGTCTGCAGAGATACAGCCCATAATTCAGAAAATAAATTAAAAGTATTTCTAATCAGATCATCAAATCTTCCCTCTGTATGTCAGTAAGTGCCAGTGTAGTCTTTTAACAATCCTCATCTAACACTTATGAAACTGCTGGATGGTGTATGATCCTTTCACAATCATACAACTCTATAATAAATTGAGGACAAAGTGAACTTTGCAATCAGAAAGAATGTATTTGTTTGGAAAGCTGACAGAGGGTTGCAACGTGCACCGATGTCTGTGGCTGTTCACTGGATTTAATGCACAGGGCATTTCACAGTGTCAGTGGTGCAACTATTCAAATGTAGTAATTGTACACAAAATAATAGTGTAGCTCTAATTAGTAATAGTTTGAGAAATGATTGGCATTGTTGTCGTTCCAGGCTATTTCCTTCCAATAAAAACAAGTTTGGTTAGTTGTGGTTAAATTAAGCCTGTGGAGCGGCATTCACAAGGCGGCACTCCTCATGAACTAAACCATCAGGGTAGAGGAGGTGGGACATTTGGTTTGGCCTGACGAGAGACATCATGAGTTTTAAATTAACTTTGTCCGGCAGGTTATTTGTGGTTTCTGTAACAGGTTTGTCCCGTACTTAACTGCTTCTTGCATTTGAAGCACCTCCATAAATCTAGAAGGGCATTAATTGAATCCATTCACTCACTCACTTATTCATTCATTTACTCATTTGGAGATACCACATTAGGCCCCCAAGTGTCCATCAGGCCGGTGGTGTACGCCCTTTTTGAAATGTTTTGTTCAGTCGAGTACCCCCCTGACCAGCACAAAACGTTTTCGGTAGAATGTCTGTATAAAGAGGAACAATACAGCGCTGTGCCACCCGTGTCTGATTTATTAACGAAAACACTTAAATGCTTCATCTAAAATGTTTAGAATCCATCACTAAATTCATGGCAAACTACAGTACAGTATTGTAGTGGCACTGAACTGCATCTTTTTGAGGAGTTGCACTTACAATTTAGAGAGAATATGGGAATTAGGTGACATAGAGTGTATAATATGTGTGTGTGTGTGGTGTGTGTGTGTGTGTGGTGTGTGTTGTTGTGTTATACTATAATATGTATGTGTGTGTGTGTGTGGTATATATATGTATGGGTTAGACTAACTCGTTGTGATGTTGTCTGTTCAGTTATTAAGGATTTCGTGGTAGGTTGAATGGACTCTAGAAGAACAAGGTCTTCTAATCTATCTAATCTTATAATTTCATATTCATATCTAATCATATCTTACTTCTTGGGTGGTTTGGATCTTTATTTACTATCTATATCATAATGACTTATGTTAAATTAGTGGAATTAGGATAGGGGAAATAGTGTGGAAGTTTAGTTGTTATGCTCTAGGGTATTTGGTTTGGTGTGGGATGGTTTAACGTAGATTTTTGAGTGGTTGTGATTAGTTATACTGGTTCTTGGGTTGACTTATTTGCAGATTATTAATTTAGGTTGAATATTTTTTCATTTCGGTAGCTGTGTTACAGTAGGGTGATAAAAGATAGATGAGATATTGATGATATATATACTTTTTAGAAATGAATGGCAGTGGTTTAGAGTTAAAGGAAATAGAGTTTTAGATAGGGGATGTTTATAGGATTTTTCGTTATCTCCTATGATTTGGTATGGATAGGAATTAGGATAAGCGTATTGGTGGAGCATATAAGTACTATTAATTTTTGTATAATTATAAACTCGTGAGCATTGTGATTATGTTTTATTATACAGGTTGTAGATTTGGATG